CGCCGACGCAGAGAAACGGCCCCTCGCCGCCGCCCCCCGCCTCTTTCCGACGCCACCGAGCGGGGCCCGGAAGCGGAATTCGCCGGAGGCCGCAGGCGTGATCATAGAGTTGCTGCGTCGCGGGCGCCGAGCCGGGCGCACGCATGCGCTCCTGAGGAAGGGGGCGTGGAACGTTCGGCCGCGAACCGGGCGCCCCGGCGCACGGAAGGCGTGGCGCATGCGCGCAGGAGGCAGCGACTGGGGTCGCTCCGCGCTTGCTCCGGAACCCACGTGCGCGGGCCCAAACCCGCAGGAACCGCTTTCCGGGAAGCGCGACCGCGCGCTCTGCACGTGTGCAGAGGCACGCACAGCTGGTTGCCCAGAGCCGAGAACACCCAGAGATCGGCGTCTCCGAGCACCGGCGGGAGCTCAGCCGCCCCCTTCATTTCTTCCTCGTCGGCTTATCCTTTCTAATCCGGAGCTTGGTTTTCACTGGGTGGCCCTTGGATGGGAGGCCACCAGGAAACCCTAGGCTGCAACCTGGAGGAACATTCCACGACCAGACGCTGGAGGACTGCCACCAAGGAAACTGATGCTCCAGGTTGCCTTCCCGTTCCCGGGGGCAGCCCCGAAGGATGCAGTGCCACCACTCCCGGCACCGCCCTGCCCTGCCCTGCCTCCGGCGTTGGCTGGCCAGCCACACTGCCCAGCGGATTGTGGGAATGGGGCCAAGGAGGACCAGGAGCCCAGGCCTCCCCGCCTGCGGGGATTCTGCAAACCTCCACCCAGGGCAGCCAGGATAACCCTCGCTCTAGCAAAAAGCAGCAGGGCAGGGAAGAGACGAGACGCGAGTGTGGCTCCTGGACACAGAACGCTCCTCCTTTGCCGCCTGGCGCTCGAACACGCGGGCCACAGCCCGCAGGCAAGATGGTGCTGGGGAAAGAAGACGAATTTCAGACCGTTTACAGGAGCACCAAGGAGAAGCTGCAGGGTTACGCCAAGGCTTTTAAACCGGGCCTGGGTTGTTAGGAGACAGACGAGGCAATGCCTGAAGCAAGCCTTCGTAGCCAACCATTGTTCTGTCACTGGCACGGTTAACGCAACGACCGTATTTTCCCTTTCTGCCCTCTGTGGCCTTCTAGTCTCGCTACTTACAACTGCTTTCGCCCCAACCACGCAAAGATTTGGGTTGGTTAGTCAAAGCAAGTAAGATTTCTCCCGTACAGCCGCTTCAGAATAAATCACCACAGAATTCCTTTCCTCAAAAAGACATTTATTAGAGATTTACCCAATGGCTAAAGTTCCAAACAACTGCTCCACTGAGAATCATCTGGATAAACACACATGACCAGCTAGTCTATTAACTGAACACATTTCCACCTGCAATCACAGGAAACGTAATCCATTGATAAAAATGCCTCATTTGCAAATTAGCAAAAACCCTGTTCTCAAATTACACTCTGCTTTGAGAGGATGCTTGAAACTGGTATCTCGTGAGGCACGCAAAGAGGAATTTCTCCTTTTTAGCACTCTGAAATAGACAGCCCATTTCTGGTGTTTGCAGTGACACCAGCTTCCTGACCATCCCTGCACATTCACCAGCTTTCTCCAACCTGCGGTTCCCCCCTCCCCACCAAGAAGTGCTGACCCTACAACTCCCAGAATTACTCCTGTGCTTGGAACTGTAGTTTGGAGAAGACTGGTAAGTGCCGCCCTAACAAGCTGGAAGTTGGGCTCTACACCCAGCTGTCCGTGGAAACATTCCAAGCTGTTCTGAGGAGCTTACAGTGGCGAACAGATTTTACGTTTTCAAAAATAAAAGCACCTTATGGTGGTTTTGGGGTGGTTTTATCACACCACCTCATAGAGCGTAATTTGAATGTCTGCATTTTTCTGCTTCAAGACAGACTAAATGCAAATTCTATTACTCCAACTTCATTCAGATTGTCTACTCTGTTAGCTGATGAGATATCAAAATCTGGCATGTTATTTCGTGATCTTGAATTGGCCTAATAAACATACAGCTCTCACAAAGCCTTCCCACCCCGGTGCCCAGCTGAAATTTCCAGCCAACGTGGCCACAGACCATTCTGGGAATTACCATCCCAGAACATCTGGAAGGAACCAGGTTGGAGAAAGGGTGGGAAAGGAGGTGGCGTGTCCTGCACTTAGCCCCAACTTTCTTGTCTCTCAAGCGGGCACCTGAATAACTTCACAAACAGCTAAAACATAGTCACGAGGGCAGGAAGATGCCCAGCAACTTTTCTGCAGATAGTCTGTATCATATGGAAAAACATACATTTCCAACCAAAAAACCACAGTAAATACTCTGGAAAAACAATTCCTCTGTTAAGCCAAAACTATTTAGGGTCTGCTCTGAATCTACAACCATTTCAACCTCCTGTCACTCTCACACCTGGGACTGTATCAGAGCTGCGATTCTGACAAATACCCAATTAAAGTCATTCTTTATGTGAAAACAGTATTTATTGACTGGGTTATAAGCTGAGACATGGGCAGTATTTTTCCCACATAAACACTGGGGACAAGAAAACCCTGTGTTGCTAACAACACAGACAAGTTTTAAAAATTTCTATTGTTTCGAATAGAATTTTAGAATTTCTATATTTTAGAAAAAATATTTCTAAAGTTCTGCCCAAGCTTTCAAAGTACTGAACATCTCTGCCACAATCCACAATTGCTTTGATGATTAACCCCACTAGGAATTAGTGCAGATGACACCTCCGTACTTACTGAGTAAGGCCACTCTTAAAGCAGCCATTTCTTCAAACAGGCGAAACATGCACAAAAAAGACTTAAAAAAAAACTTATAAAGTGAATCTAGTGCTAGTGGAAAGCGCTGTTTCGAGAGCCTTCCTTTTTAAAGTACAAAATAGCCACATTACGTTGTTCTTCTGCCTCAGGGTGGAAGCGTGCTTTGCGAGAGAGACAGGGTGGTCTGCCCTCGAGAACGGCCTCCGTGTGCTAAGCTGTCCCTAACCCTGGGTACACTTTCTCTACTCTTGAGCGCCACATCCTGATACCATGTTCTGGATCTCCGCTCCACATTATGGGTGGGCAGCAAAACAGCAAGGCAGATCAGAAGCTGCACTAAGACACCCTCCACGGTAGAAAGGAGAAGCCTGGGTGGTGGCAGGCAGGCCACCACCATTCATATCCCAAATAAGCCACTCACTGAGCATCCAAAGCTAGAGAGCTTTCACCAGCCCAACGCTAAAACAGTAGAGCCGCTAGGGTCCTCAATTACTGGATCTTTCTGTCCAGAAGCGAGGCAGTTGAAGCATCTGAGTTTCAACACAGAAGGGCTTGGACTGAATCCGTTTTGTGCCGAGAACACCCAGCTCAATTAGGCACCTCCAATACTGGAAACAGCGAAGGATCTTGCTAACATAGCGAACAACCAAAGCTACATTTCTCTTTTCCTTAGCCAAGAAGCATTTCACCATATATAAGAGATTCTCATGCATTTTATTCCTAAATAAATGACAACAGTCATCTGTGGGCTAGTGTATCTCAGAGGTTTTTGCAGATGGACGTTATAAAATATTGGTTGAGAAGTCATAAAAATATATATTATCTCTTTCCTTAACATTTAAGCATATAAATACTTACTGAATAAGCATCGCAATATAAAAATGGGTGCCTCTCCTATGACGCCTTGTGACACTGCAGTATAAAAGTTATAATAAAGGCAGCTATTAAGTGTCAGCATCACCCGGGACTTGCAAACCCACTCAGCAGTGCATCACCCAACGGGCCAAGTCCGGAAGCAGAAGGCCAGCGTGTTCTTCAGGACATCAAATTTCCCAGCGTGCTCTTCACTCTTGGCTTGAATCCGAAATATTTTCTTTCTTTCTTTTTTTTTTACTGTTCAGACTTCCGCTCTTGCTTCCCATTAAGTTCTTGGTCAATTCTGCTCATTGGAGAGAAGAAAAACATGTAATGTTTTGCACTCTTAAAAAGTTCTATTCACAGGGGGGAAAAAAGAGATTATTTAGCGATTGCAATGAGACAGTTAATACAAGTTAAAGCAGCAAGTTCCTACAGAATTGTAAGGGGAACTATGAACAGTGATAGTTAACAGGGAAATGAAGCAGACCATGTAGCTTCTTTTCCCAAAGTGCCCAACCTTTGCGTACCGGGTCACCCCCCGCAGGCCCAAACACTTGGCCAAGGGCCACCCATCACCAGTGGATGCGCTGTGGATCAGCTGCAGCTCTTTGCACTTAGGAACCTGACCCAGCCCAGCTAGGGCCTGCAGATTGGCCTCCCCCAGCCAGGCACGCACACATACACCTTGGTCGCACTATTTGACTTTAGCTGAGTGAACATTTTTCCCCCCTTGTCTTTGAGTCAGACTTGACTCTTGATGACTGCCTAGACAAGTCCCTGCAGCTTTCTTGGCCAGGTTTTTCGGAAGTGGCTTGCCCTCGCCGCCTCCTTCCAAGAGCCGAGAGAGAGGGACCCCGCCAGCTTTGTGCCTGAGGCAGGACTAGAACTCATGGTTTCTAGCCCGGTGCCTTTAACCACTAAACCCAACCAGCTCTCCTCTGCCATTTAGGCCACATTCTATCAGGCAGGTTTCACAAACGTTAATGCATAATCGTCTTCCCTGAGAATTATGAGAAGGGAACCCCGTTTCTGCTTCTATCCCTATGACAGTTCTTTGCTTTCACAGTTGTAAATTTTCAAAGACAGAATCAGGACTCAAAGGATTTATCTGAACTATTATTTCACTCTGATCTGGTCAGAAATTAAAGCTACCATGGGGAAACCCCAATATGCATATGACCAGTCAGAACCCTGCTTTCTAATGCTGCAGGATTAAACATGGAAGATGATCTTCCCACGAAAGCTTCCTACAGGATCCAGGCCTCAGCATCTTCCCGTGTTTGTCTTCCATTTGGGAGAGCACTCTGAAGGCAGGACTAGCTTTTTGGATTTGCCAAATATACAATCTTCTGAGCCCTCCCTCAAAAAGAAAAAAAAGGAGTGGGCATTTGGAGCAGTGATATACAATCGGCACATTCTGGATCAAGTTGATTTGTTAATTAGCCATAGCAAGGAGTGCTCTAGATTGGACACTATGGTCACAATGAATTTAGTAGCAGGCCACCATTGTTAAAAGCACCACCAGAAATGTTCAGCATGCATTGATAAATGGGGGGGGGAGGAGAGGGAAGGGGGGGATTGCAAATGCAGACAGCACAAAATGGAAAAAAAAAAGTAATTCCGTCAGCTTCTAGGGTAGATGAACAAATGTTGACTGAGTCACCATCACCCTCAGTCTAAAATTAAGGAAGTGTTTTTACAGCCATTGCTACCCAATTTTAACAGGAACAATTTGCAGCTCTAGAACTGAAGGTTAGTGTTATAATTAGACAGCAAATACTGAGCTTCGGGGATTACACTGTACTTCAGAAACAAGCACTGGGTGGGCAGCCCGGCATAAGCTAGTCCAAGGACAGCACAAGGTTTTGCAGGGGCGGATTCCCATTCACACATGCTGTATGCATTCCAGCCAGCCACAGCCCTCCCATGAGCCAGCAGAGAGCAGAAGAGGCAAGACGACACATTCCTGATCAAGAAGTGCATATACCTTTTGAGTTTCTTTTTAAATTTTTCTTCTTCATACCTTGGTGGGGAAAATTTGGTTTTAGTAAAGAAGGCGCAAATTTTGAAACTCACAAAACCCAAGCCAACCGCATGTATTTAGTCAAGCGCTTCCAAACGTATTCCAACGTATAAAAGCGACATCAAGCAAAGGAGCGTAGGAGAGGCTACTGGGTCTCCCTCCAGGGCACCTGGGCCTCTCTGAGGCTTGATCCCCTGGGAAAGGAGATTAGGATCGCAGGTAGCAATTGGCTCAAACGAATTTAGTGAGCTGCAGAGCAGAAGAGAGATTTAACTCGGGGCCTCCATAATAATCCCTGAAGGACAGCAAGGCATAGTGGTTGGAGTCAGATGGCATGAATCTGACACCGTTCTTCTAATACAGGGACTGGCACTAACAAGCCTTATCTATAGGAGCTGTCCCACGCCAGCCCTTTCAAAGGCACTTCTCATTTGGGATCTTTGGCTTCCTGAAGGAACCTTCATGGTCACCCGTCATCTGTCCCTCCTTCAACAATCCCACGACAGACAGACAAGACAGACTGAACGGATGCCTTGCTGGCCTTTGAGCATGACATTTTAGAGGGAGAGGTGAACGAAATGGGACCATCACTCTGATCTGAGGAAACTGAACAATTCTTAATATAAAAGACCTTTCTCTTATTCTGCATTGCTGCGTACTACATTAAACTAGCAAAACACACACACACAATGTATATATAAAGTGCCCACATGCAACAGTAATTTAGAAGACAGCCGAAAGACACACCCCGCATCCCTACCAATGGAGGTCAGGATCTTCAAGCATTTGGTACATGCTTGGCCCAGGGTGGGACAGCAACATCTACAGCCTGGATGCACAACATTTGGGCTTCCAGATGTTGATGAAGCAGCCTCCACGAGAATAATTACAGCGAGGGAACCTGGGACAGGCAGTTCCTGGGCTATATATCTGCATGGCCTGAAACTGCCTCTCGCTTTTCTCCACATTTCCAATGGGGAAAGAAAAAGATGTTCTCATCTTTTTATAAGCTACACAGAATTTTTGTAACTGCTTAGCGAAGACAGAGAGAGAGAGAGAACAAGCCCTCCAAGACGAAGGGCAGGTGGCTTCTCTGGGAAAGGCCCCAAGACCACCTGCAATTCATGGGGATTTTAACAGCCAACTCCTGGGGAAAACCCCTGTTTGTGAGGGGGCGGTGGGCCCATACGGCTCTATCCCAGCTCAATGAGAGACGCCTTTTTGGGATTGTGAGCACAGAAGAAGAGTAACCTACTGTTTTATGCACTCGGGGATGGTGACGCTGTCCATGGGAATAAGCTCAGCCAACTCTGCCAAGGTAAAGACGTATCTGATTTTCTGGCTGAATTTTGAGCTAAAAAAAGATAGGAAAACAGTCACAACTACAGCGCTAGCCACCCCAATGTTTAGCTTAAAAAAAAAGGATAAATATTGCATGTGTTACCTAATAAATGGCTTTGTGATTGCCAGAAGTGTTCTAATGAACCAGGAAGGATGAACTATTATTAACGATTTCAGGTTTTTCCTTAACCTAAAGTCAATGAAAATGGCAGAGATGTTGGCAGCAGAAGGCAAGGACCGCTCTCCCTGAAAAACCATGTGATGGTCCCGGTCACAGATGAGACAAATCCTCTTTACCGATTAGCACGCTCAAAGAACTCCATATTGATCTTCCACCTGGGTGCTTTTTTCTAGATCCCCCTCTCCCCTTTTAATCTCACCTCCTATCAATTTGTTGGTAACACTTCCTGAGCCAACCTAAGCTGGGCATCTTCCTCCGTGTTGTTGCCCCATTTAGATAAACGATCATGTAGCTCTCAGCTATTAATAATTCTAGGGAGCCAATAACATATCTGTGGGAAGGAAAAGAGAGAGAAACAGCATTCACCTGCCATAGCAGCTTGATTCATATGAAGGCTAGACAATAATTTGCTGGGATTTACACATCCCATAGTACTAGCAAGCAAACTATGACTCAGTGCAGTGTCTTAATCCAGCCAGAAAGACTGCCTTAATCGTTTTCCCATTAAGTTCCATTCTGCCCATGGCAGGCTGGTTTTCTTCACTACAGGCTTCTTTTGCCTGTCAGGAGGGCTAATCACATTCCCAGCCTAAGGAAAGTCCACTGTCTCTCCCAGCAGTAGCCGGAAGAGGAAATAACACCACGACTTTAAATACACACTCTCCCAGGGCATTTCTACATTCAGTATCTCAGTTTGCCAGTACAGGTTAAGGAGCAAGATGAGTTCAGTATCCCCCTGAAATGAGGCAGCCAACTTATGCAGGGGTGAGGTTGTGAACTGTGTCAACAGACGGGAATGCGTTGAGCATTCACAAGGGGTACTCGTGGACTAACCATGACCTCCAAGTTGTCTAATCATTTAAAAGGAAAGCTGTGTGTCAAGAGAAGCTCCCAATCTAATGTGACCCCTTATTAAGCTTTGGAAATGAGAAAGACTGTAACAACAGTTTGGAGGGGAGAATCTTGTCTCGGTGGTGTTTTGCACGCCAAGAACTGTGGGTTGATCCCTAGCATCTCCTGTAAGGAGGGCGATGAAATGTCCCGGCTGCTCCAACAATTATTCCAGATCAGATGGACCAAAGATCTAACTCCACATAAAGCAGGGTTACATGTTCACCGTACCACTTACTTAAACAGATTATCCATTAAGTATCTGTAGTTTGGCTGACCACTTTCTGGCATGAAGCAAACCGCAAACACAATAATTGCATTTAATCCATCCCCGTAGTATCCTAGGAGGAAGAAAATAATCATAATGAGGCTTTTTCTTAAGGCTTCCCGCAGTTGGAGAGAGCTGGTTTGGTGAACAAGGTGTTATAAGTTACTGCTCACCTCCGTGACTAATTACTTTCTTGTAGGGCTCAATTGCCTTCATGTCTACTCGGTGACCCTGGTCTCCAATCTGGTACATCCGCCATCGCCGCTCCTCCTCCTTCTCTTCTGATGCTGTATATTCCAGAAGTGACCCCTTCCTAGCAGCATCAGTACTTTTCTGCTTTGGAAGATCATCTAGCCACGATGTAAACAAAGGATTGGAAGCAGCATTACATATTAGACCAAACGGGTTGCTGGATTTATTTGTCGGTTAAGTCTTTAAGAGCGATCGGCTCATATTTTAAAGGGCCAACACTCACTTATGGAAACTCTGCCGCATTCTGAACAGGTGATTAAGCGCTTATTGAGCAGAATGGTTTTAAAGTCAAGGTATTTGGAAATACAAAGTTGCCATTCCCTTTGAAAACTTGGCATCTCTTGCAGATTATTAAAATCAATGTAAGTCACTCTCATTCTGATTATATTAGATTTTCTTTCTTTACATCAGAGTTGCCCTCCACAAAAAGAGTCGTCAGCATTTAAGTTTGACACACCTGAGTTCAAGAAACGTGGCATTTTTAAAAACAGATTCAGAATGTTTAGGGCGGTGCAGACTGATACTGAAAACCCTTTGAGCAGCTGACCGCTCTGGATGGCTTCCCTTCAACTGTTATTTTCCCACTGATTGTAAGTTTGGTATAAAATCATTCCACTGCCCTGATTTGCAGCAGTCATGCAAATAGACAAGTCTTTCAATCAAAGCTGTGCAGGATCTTGGGGAGCCTAGTGAAGACTAAATCATCCTCATGGCTTTGAAAAAGGAATTTCAGTAGTACAAGCCTTACCACAGAGGTGGGAAAAACTACTGCTGCAAGTTAGTAGTTGGTTTCCAAGGACAGAAGCTGTTAATGGAAACTATCCTCCCAGGGAAACGCAGACAGCCGCATTAAAAAGAGAAGAGATAGAAACCTTATTCCAATGAGGTACAACTCCACCCTCTCGCCCAAAGTAAAATCCAAGCACTTGTGGAGTTGTGTGTTCTGCACCCCCAGTTCCAACGCATATGAAATATCTGTACCGATGAGCACGCGCATCAGCAACAGCACACAGCAAGGTTGATTGGCATGCCTGAAGCTCGGCACCGGAATATTCCAGCGGAAAAGGCTGCTTCCTTAATCTCTGCTCCAGAGTCAGGGGGTCCAAAACAGGTTACCCTCTGAGTCGGTTCTGTCCCAGCAAGAAATCAGTTAATCAGAAGTAGCTGCCATTTCTTTTCATATCAGCTGGAGCGTCAGCCTTGAAGAATACAGACAGCAGCCCTGAGGCTGTTAGCTACGCCAGGTTAAGAAACGTCTATGGACTTCTGAGAATTGGCCAACTATTCTGTTTTTAGAACTCTCGTTCTAATAACTACATTAACTGACATCCACACACTATCAGCTGTCTCGGTTAAACATCACCAAATTCACCCCAGTTAGCACTGTAAAATACAAAGGTATCACCCTACAAACCCAGGAGAATATGAAGCAGACCAAAGGAAAGGACATTCTTCCCAAGCAGACTCAACCAAGGCAATATAAACTTATTTTTTCCAATAGGTATACACACCGTCCCCTTTGTACATCCACAGCTCAGTTTGAATTACTTGCAAATAAAGAATATTTTTCAGCCTCCCCCTAATCTTACATTTCTACACATGGTCAAATCTCTAATCTCTCCCCCAAAAAAGAGGCTTGCATAAGGGTAGCAGCTGTAGGCAGAGGGAAAAGAAGTGCCCGCATTTCTTACTTGAGATGATTGTTTGAGACAATAATGGCACTGCTGTCCAAACTGATCCAAGCCAGCACAGGTATGGTTAACCTCACAGCTTTAAAAAAAATCCAGTGCTATAAAGGGGAGACCTACCGAGAGTAAAACCCCTGAGCTTCAGAATAGAAGTACACAATACCTTCCACCCTGGAATGCTGTGACCCCAGAACTGGTCATTGTAAATGTCCTGCACACCTTACAATGGACTCTTTTTACAGACAATTCAGAACGGCTCCATTCTGAAGTCAAACTGCTTCCAAAATGGGTCTGGTTCAAGGTCACAATGTTCCAGGATGGCACGTTTTGTACCCCCCAAGGCCTAGAACCTCAGATACAGAGCTGTTCCTTCGTTCCTCTACTGGCAGGTTTGGGGCAGGGCTCTTCGGAAGCAACTGGCAGCTGTCTTTGCCATCTGAACTATCATTTTGTTCTAGTGCCCAGTCAACAAAACCGTGAAGTCTGCCTACATCTGCTGTAAAAAAATCCGATCCAAGGAAACTATCGTAGGCAACTACAAGTCAGTCATCTAGAAGTCAATGGGACATTAACCCAACATAACCAGCAAGAGGAAACATACATAAGCACAAAACTTCATTACTATTAAAAAAAACTTACCTTCCCACTCAAACTCATTATTACTGTTCTCAGATGGTGTGTCAACAGCTGTCTTTGCCATCTGAACTATCATTTTGTTCTAGTGCACAGTCAACAAAACCGTGAAGTCTGCCTACATCTGCTGGAAAAAAATCCGATCCAAGGAAACTATCGTAGGCAACGACAATTCAGTCATCTAGAAGTCAATGGGACATTAACCCAACATAACCAGCAAGAGGAAACATACATAAGCACAAAACTTCATTACTATTAAAAAAAACTTACCTTCCCACTCAAACTCATTATTACTGTTCTCAGATGGTGTGTCAATATCATCCAGGTCGATATCTCCACTCTCCTCTAACCCAGACAAAATGGATTCTTCATTCTGATCCAAAGTCAAGTTTATATTTGGAGCTATTAGTTTCTTCTTAACTTTGTTGCCATTAATTTCTAACAGGTTGAAAGGTAGGGGAAGATAACAAATTAATTGTATGCGCAACAGTTCTATAATTAAATGAATACAAGACTGATTTTATTCTATTTGAAATCAGTTCTGAAATTTCAACAAAGATAGTATACACAACTTTAGTTATTCTAATAAAGCCAGTGGACAGTATGCTTCATAAAAAAAACACTCTATTCTGTGTCCTTTATGAATACGTTTGGACCCTACTGGCCCTGAACATCCCGGTCCATCCTTACTGAAGTGTTCTGACCTTATCAAAGGTAGTCTGATTTCAAAATGCTTTCACAACTATGACAGCCAATTTCAGGGCCAGACCACTTCTGGGAAGACTGCCACAGCCTGTTCCAAGGTTGGAAAACTTCTAAAGAAAACAGAGCATCTCAAGGCTGGAGAATTTCCACATCAAAATGTTTTGCCCACTTCTACAGTACTGGAACTGGTCAGTGGAATATCAGGCAAAACAAAATCTGAGGTGGAACATCAGAATCTCTGAAGTGTTCCACTGCAGTTTCTTATTCTTGTTCCATCACTTTCTAGAAAAGACTATGAGATCAAGCAGCATATCCCTCATATCTTTAATTTTTAAAAAATATAACTTTACAGTGGCAGGCAGGACATCAACTTTTGCCCAGCAGCCTTAGCCCCAAGGCCAAGTTCAAAATATCTTGACGGCATCAAATTGCCTACTCCAACTTACCAGATTGGTCCCCTCTTTCAGCTGGATCAGACATAGCTTCAATATGGTCATCTTCTGGCAAAGGTCTGGGACAGAGAACAGACATTATAGTCAAGATAAAAGTTGCTTCCCTTCCTATTTCCTTTTTTATAACTCTATGGGACACTGATAACTTCTTATACAACAGTGGACTTTGCAAACAACTTGAACACAAAAAGAGACCATGCTCAGAAACAGGGACATCCACAAACAGACAGACTAGCTGCTGATCTGTGTAATGTGTAGTTGAACCTGCTGATTTGCCACAGGGTCACAGAACAATCCCTATTAAAAGGAAACCTCCTTCAGGAAGACTGAATGTATTGGCTATTCCAACACAAGTCTACATAAGACCCAGCCCGGGAACATGGTGCAAAGGGATGTTTTGGCACACGGTGGCTCCGGGGCTGCTTTTGACTTTTTTTTCACAGCACAAAGCAAAAACCCAGGCCAGCCCCGCCCCGCCCAGAAGCTTTTTGCAAAGAGGCTTTTTGGCATGCCACAACCCTGGGGCTGCTTTTGGCTTTTTTGGTTAGGATTTTCTCATGGGAAGAAATGCACCTCGCTATCTCCAAACATTGTTTAGACTACATAAACAGGCCACCTGCAGTTATTTTTGTTAGTGTGCATGTATACTGCTATTTACTGCCATCTATCGGCGTCTGTATGCTAGTTACTCAAGGGGTGGTGGATAGTGTCAATAAAGTGTGAGGATTACATGTCTCACTGCTCAGTAGGATTTTAGCCATCATGTAATCAGTTTTATAGGTTATGTAGTAGTAACTAATAACCAAGTAGTGTACCTCTTTTCTGAGAGTTTCTCTCGAGAGACTTTGTTAAACTTGTGCAGTGGATAAGTCTTGGATGCCACATATATGAGAAGAAGTGATTTTTTTTCCTATGTTTTGCATGAAACTTGTATTTTATGTAGTTTTCTATTTTTCTCAATAAATACCAGACATTTATAACTTCTGGCTGGATTTCTTTGGAGAACAAGATAAGGACATTGCATCCTTTAAATCTCTCTAATGCTGCTGTGTACTTTTGACAAGAACTGTGGTTATAGCTGCACTCTGCATAACTTTTTTTTCTTTCACAGCCAACGTTCAGGCCAGGCACACCTCAGCAGCAGCAGAAGCAAGAAGACAGTGAAGGTCAGCTAGGGCAGCGGAGCACAGGGCAGCAAAAGGGCGTAGATGGGGGGAGATAGGCAGGTGGGGAGACGTGCAGTCGTAGTGCAGGCGGACTGCCAAGCACCCGAATTTTGATCATGCGACCGTGGGGGCACCGCAACGGCCGTAACTTCGGGCACTGATCATAAGTCACTTTTTTCAGCACGTTCGTAACTTCGAACAGTCACTGAACAAATAAGTCAAGGACTACCTATATACAGACAATAGCTCATACCATTTTCCAGCAAAAGAGGACCAGAACAAGTCAGCTAAGCCTTACCTTGGAAAATCTTCATCTTGCCACTCTTCCTTAAGTTCAACTCCTTCCATCCTCAGTTTTGCCTCAATGGCTGATGCAGATCCTTCTTGATCCAGAGTTCTTTATTATTGTGGGAGATGTTAGGAACTATAAAATATGTTTCTGTTAAAGAAGTGCTTAGTCACGACAGAAATGACTTCCTATGAAATTCTGATTAAGCATCTAAGCACAGAAGAAACTGGAACAGGACAATGCATTTATACAAAAACAGCAGCAATTTCTCAATTTCTGGTGAATCTACAGCCAACAATGCATTTTCTCAGAGAGTGCCTTTATGCATTTGTTTGGAAATTTGTTCTCATCCTATAAAGACAGTGCCCATCACACAGGGGACATATGCATAAAGGAAAAGACCTGCTACACATTACCAGTATTGGCAATGCAAGTAAAAGAGATACACCAAGCACAAAGCTTCTGAGTCAAGTCCTCATTTCTTCCATAGTCTCATTCAGCAGCCATCTCTGGGTGCCCTGTTCAGGCAGACCTGGGGAAAAAAGGGCCCTCAGACCTGAGAGCACATTCTACATCATCTGATTTCAACAACTTCACCTGCCATGGGCACCAACTGTGCCTCCCAGTTTGCAGTAAATGGTTGTGCAGTGACCTCCATCACACCCTCTACTCCAGCATGGGAGGAAGGTTCGGCAACTTATACAGCTGGGATACCCTGTGGGAGCAACTCAGCAAAACTGCCACTGATCCTATAAATGGCGAGTTAACCATTGTTGTAAGGGGCAGAGAGTGTCTTCCAGCCCTGGCAAACCCTCTACCTGCTCTTCTTACAATTGCTTCTCTTAGGAAGAGCCAGGGAAGAACCCCCAGGATGGTTAGATAGGCAACAACAGTTTTGGGCGTGGCCAGCAATGACTGGCGACTGGGCAAACTCTAAAAGGATATTAATCATACTCCCTTGAAAGTGAGTTTTCTGCCTATGCAAGCCCTGGAGGAAACAGATTTTGAGTAATTCTAGTTCCATTAGAATGGTTGAGCAGGAAGCCACACTGAAGATTTCATAATAGCTGAGCTCCATCCAGCAGACTACAATTATTGCTTGTGGCTGTTGAACAGTATATTTGCTCTGGGACTTTTAGCCTAAATCCAGCACGGTTTGCACAGCTTCTCCTGCTGCTCGGGAAGGGAGTCAGTTGAGGAGGCTTCAGGTACAGGAAAGCATACTGCTTGGACAATCTGATGGTGGAAAAGCAGGTTGCTCATACGCTGTATTTTGTTTGTCAGGATGAACAACTTCTTTAGAGGATTGTCTTTAACCTAGCCATAAAAGGCACAGAAGTCCTGAAGCTTACTTTCACATACGTCCTAGGATTCTGATTCATCAGTCTCTACTGAGATCAGCAACTAATTTTGGAGCCTCACGTTTTATGCAAACTCAATGGGAGTTGAACCTAACTGAATTTGGATAAAGTTTTAGATAAACAGTGACAGGATCTTGTTGCCCCGTTGTTTAGGATAACAGCCCACGTTCTTCCAAGGAAGCATCAGTGATGTCTTTTTAAAAAAAGTCATTTTACATAGGTGAACAATTATAAACTTTAGGATCAATGTGCTCCAGATTCTATTTGAAATATGACCAATTCCCCATTGGGGGGCGGGGGGAGGAACAGAAATTTCAGGTTTAACATAGGAGGAACTGCCTGTTCTCAGGATGCTAACCCCCTTCTCCACAAAGCACCAGTTATTGCAAGACACCCTTCCACTTCCCTTCTGAAGGAGAAACAGCTTCCATCACCTCTGTAACACCATCTAGCACAATCTTTCATCCCAGCATATGTTCAAGGACTGAGGCTACATCTTAAGGCTCAAGAAAACTGGGGTATTTCATGGCACCATGCAATAATCTCCTAATCCCTACAGCACACCAACCTTTCCTTAATGCCATTTTTCTTCTCATTCTCTCCTTTTTTAAAGCCAAACCTCGGGGGAAGTAAGAATCTACCCTGTCCTTGTTATACAGCGGAATCCGTCATGTTGTTTTAATTCAATATCTTTATTTTTGTTGCAAAACGATCTTTAATCTTAAAAAAATTTTTTTTTTAATTTAAGTACAAACTAAAAACACAAACTAAAAAGGAAAAGAGAATCTATGTATCTTAGTGATAGTAGTCACTGGTTTACTAATGAATTCACTACTATAATATGAACAATACAAGGTATTAATGTAAGAGATCACAGAAGCTCTGCCATGGTAACACAGAGAAACACAATCCATCATGCTTAAAAGCCAAAGGCGTTTGAGAGCTCATGCGCTCTGCCTCCAACGGCCTGAACGAGCCTTCTGCAACTGGGTTCACGGCTGTATTAGCTGAGGATGATGGGAGATAGGGCAAGGATGATGGGAGTTGCAGCAGGCCCTTGGGTGTGGATTCAGATCCCGCAAAAGCTTCAGTTACCCTTCACAGGTGAAGTTTCATTCCTGAACTGACTTACTGGGGAGAAAGCGCCATTCTATAGGACAGTGTTTCTTAAACATCTTGCTCCCAGGGCCCCTTCCCACTTCTAAAAACTACAGAGGACCCCAAAAGGTCTTTTGTTTGTATGGGTGATATTTATCGATCTTTACCATATTCAGAATTAATCCTGGCGCATTCATAGAAGATTTACTTATTGAATCATCTAAAAACAATGATGTCAACCCCCTTGGATATTAACCTAAATAAAATGTTTGTCATGAAAAACGTTCTGTTTTTCTAACAAATAGAAAAATAATCAGGAGAAGAGTGACCTGGTTCTACGTTTTTTGCACACGCCTTCCACGCCCTGATGTCGTGGACCCCCGAGAGGGTCTTGGGGGACCCCAGGGGTCCTCGGACCTGCAGAGGAATCTCCCTCCGCCCTCAAGGCAGCCCCTTCAGAATCCAGCCAAGGGGCCCCCAATGAGCCAACCGGCGGGAGGGCCACCGCCGGCCCCGCCCCACCGGGGGGCTCGCCCCGCCCTTCCACCGCGCCGATCGGGACGGCCCGGGACGGGTTGGCGACGGGACGGAGCCGGCAAAGGCGACCGCAGCCGAAAGCGCCCGTGTGGATTTTTCCTGCGCTCTGAGGAGGGAAGGAAGCAGACAGCGCAGGTTCCCTGCAGGTAGAAATCCAGCTGGCCAAGGATCTTCGGCGGCGCAGGAGAGGGGCGTCGGCTGACAGCCAGCCTGAAGGCGGAGGACCCCCTCCGTCCCATTTCCCGGCTCCGAGACCCCCGCATCCCATAATAATCCCCCCCAGACTGACCGGCCTGGGGGAGAGGCGTCACCTCAGCGCGTTCCCGCTCTCGGTCTCCCGCAGCCGGCCGGAACGACCCCTCCCGAAGGTGGCGACCCTGCCCCGGAAGAACACGTGACCAAACAGGAAGCAGGAGGGAGCTCCCTTCTTAGCGAACGGAGAGACCCGCTATTTGCGCCTGCGCACTGTCCGGCGCCAGGAAGGGCGCGGCGGCGGCGGGGCAACTCGAGGGCGCATGCGCCGAGCGTGGCTCGCCTCAGCGTGGGAAAGCCGGGCGGAGAAATTGCGCATGCGCCTGAAGCGAAGATTCTCTTCGCCCGTCGCCCTTTCTTCTCCCAAGCCGGCCAATGGGGGTGGCCTATAAGACGGCGGGCGTGGCCTATGCAAATACAGCCGCCCGGGCTTGGATCTGTGCAGCGCCGGGCGCCAGGTTGCAGATGGGCAAGGAGGAAGGGTGCCAGATTCATGGATTGATTGCACGCTCAGGTCTTGCACCCTGAGTGACTGTCTGCATGCAGCCAGAGCCGGTCTGGGAAACCCTGCGGGTGAATTCACCCAACACCCCGCTTAACCAAGTCAGAGGAAGACCGGCGGCCGCGTTCACACGACAGTCGAAGCTTGGTTAGGGTTAACCTGTGTTCGTTCATGTATTCAGTTACTCCGTTTACACCCACTCTTGATTAGCTCTTTTTGGGATCATGGCCATTGAGCTGGGCTGCATGATTCGGCGTATTGTAGGGACACGGACAAGTGAGCGAACTCAGTCACCAGGGTTAGCGTGTTGTGGGAATGCGGTCGCTTCGTGCAGCGGGGCTTAATTCCTGAATAGGCCAGGAAAAATCGTGGGGTACCCTCCAGACCGAACATTCCCTAAAGCAGAGTTTCTCAACCTTGGCAGCTTGAAGATGGGTGGACTTCAACTCCCAGAATTCCCCAGCCAGCCTAGCTGGCT